AGCAAGGTGTGATATTAGCTATTGACTCATTACAGCTGTTTGAGTCCCAGCAAGAACTTGTATATTTGTCTAATAAATTCCCTGTTTTGCTTAAAAAAAAAAATTCCCTTTATCCTTAAAAAGCTTTTATTTTTTCTCTTGTAATCGATGTCTTAAATGTGAAACAATAAAATATTTTAACTAATAGCATTTCCTCAATGAAAGACCATTTATTTATTCACTCATTTTTGCATTCTAGAAAATTTTATCACCTCCAGGGTTTTAACCCTGTTCTAGATGTAGAAGCAGCACAGTGGGAAGTACTTTAAGCCTATCATTGAAGTCTTTGGCAAGTGGGTGAGCAGATATTGATATTTTTCCAATTTTATCCTAAAACTTGTTTACATGTGGTATGGTCAAGGTATGTCACTATTTAAATAAAAATATTACAGTAAATGACACATTACAATTAATTTCCCTGAATATACTCCCTCTCACTTGAACACAAATATCCCATTTTTCCACCACTTCAACAGTTCTCAAAGTCATTTCTGAGTGTCTCTGCAGACTTTAGAAACACAGATGCATTAGAATAATGCTGCACAAGGTTATCCTGTGGGTGGGGAGGCTGGACAACCTACCGAGGTGTCCTCCCCCATGTTATTCAGTGAAACTGGCACCACGTGACACTTGGATCTTTCCTAAAGCCAAAATGACCATGAAAGGTAAAAAGTTTGAATTGGCTCAAGACAGAGAATGAGGTTCAGCAGCACAAATACGACATTCAGTAATGGTGTTGCCAGGCATGGTGGAGAATGCCTGTAATCCCAGCACTCAGGAGGCCGAGGCAGGAGGAGCAATGGGAATTCATGGCCACCTTGGGCTACAAAGTGAGCTCATGGCCAGTGTGAACTGTACAGTGAAACCCTGTCTCAGAGAGAGAGAGAGAGAGAGAGAGAGAGAGAGAGAGAGAGAGAGAGAAAGAGAGAGAGAGAGAGAGACTTTGAAGTATAAGGCAACATTTTCAGGGTTAATGTCAATGTATCTTTTAATTAAGAATCCTTAAAAATTTAAACATCCACCAAGTTCTTCAATCACATCTTCTTCAATTCTTTCATTTTTTTCTATGATTCTTTCAATGGATCACCTAGCAGCCAAAATGTTTAACTAAGAAAATGTAAATTTTTACAAGTCTCATGGCATACAATTTCCGGAAATGACAATGTGCATGAAAAGTACTGACATTTTAAAAATTGCTAACCACTTTTGCAAGGCTAACTGGTGTAGATACAGCACTGACTTTTGAGAGAATAAACCAGTGATCCCCTGAGCTCACTGCTCTGCCCACAAGGGGGCGGATCTGTCTAAGGCATGCAAGGTCCCCTTCTCCTTGTAAATTCACACCCACCCTTCATTGTAAACCTAGCCTTGCTTACAGGAAGAGGTCCTGATGCAAGGACTCCAGAGCCTGAAGATGAACTATTACCCAGGAACTATGATGGTGCTAGACATAATATGTGGTAGGTCAAGTGACAAATAAAGCTTAGAATCTTTTGAACCATGATGTTGAGACAAGTTTTAACCAATTTTCTGTGGAAAACACCCAGATTATGACAAAAGTTATGACAAAGCTTCCATGATAGGTTTCTGTTTTCTTTTCAGGAGGAAGCAATGGAGACTTGGTGACCCAGACGGAAGGCCAGGTGACGCTCTATGAAAGAACTTCCCTGACTGTGAACTGCTCCTATAAAACCACATGGTACCCTACCTTATTCTGGTATGTCCAGTATGCCAGAGAAGGTCCACAGCTTCTCCTGAAAGCCACAAAGGACAAGGAAAAGGGAAGCAACAAGGGCTTTGAAGCCACTTATGATAAGGACACCAGCTCCTTCAACCTGCAAAAAGCCTCCATGGAAGAGCCAGACTCAGCTGTGTACTTCTGTGTTCTGGGTGACACAGTGGCAGGAACTGCAGGGGAGCTGAGCACAAACTCTGGGCTGTGTCAAGGGGGCTGGCTGTTGGACGTCTGCCTTGGGTTTCATTAGAGTCCAGGAACTCATCTAGCAGGTTTGCTGCCTGCCTACCACTGCTGGTGCTATTATAGTATAAAAGTCACCCAAAACAAAACCAAGAAAACTACAAGAACAAGGAATAAATGGGACTCACAGGAGATGCTTTAGTGGTGGGAGTGAGAACAGCCTGTCACAGAAGATTCGCAACCACGTTGGACGTTTGATTTTAAGCATGAAGCCTGGTGATGCAGGCAATGGTTTCACCTTGCATAGAATTTTATTTCCATGACATTGTCCTTAGACATCCAAAGAATATTGTACTTAGTACCAGCTGTGGCATATGAAATTGCAGGCACTATTGTGTCTCTGAAAGAGTGGTGATTTTTGAGGAGGAATTCAGCCTAATCAATAATGTGTTCCAAAAAAGAAATAAATATGAAAAAGGAAGGTAAAGAATAATGTATTACATTTGACCTCTTAGGTCCTATAGGAAGAGATGGTGCTCTTACAGATTCCTGTTTTCTGTGGAATGGGTTACACTGTCCACGCCTGAGATTTCCAGTTCCCATAATTTCTCAGTGAGCTGTTTTTTCATCAGCAAGACAGCACTTGAGAGAGACAGGCAGTGTCCATTGTCTAGATGAGAACCACTGAAATGAAGCTCTTTTGTGGATGTTGATGGGGAGGGAGCTCCAGCATCCCCAACACCTCCCAGGCGATGTCTCTTACTGAAGAGCAGTGATAGATGGAGTGGGAGAAAGCAGTCAGAAGGGTGGATGGAGGGATGGCGAAGAAGAGTAGGCTACCTAAAGATGCATTAGTGTCCTTGTGAGTACTGGATGCTTCATTTTTCTAACTCTACTCTTTTAAACATTTATTCATCAATAAAAGTAAAGGCAAGTATAGCAATTTAACAAATAGGAAAGAAATAGAATAAAATGGAAACTGAAGTACTAGATATTAAAAAAATACTTAGCAATGTTGATAAAACAAAAAAGTGCTACTATTAAGCAATACAGAGGCCTGAATAATGGCCACTAAATGTGTTATAAGTCCCAGAACCTGGCAGCGTTTTACCCAGCATGCTGTATCAGTTTACTAGGGCTGTCATAAAAAAAAGGTGACAGACTGGGTGAGCAACAGCAACAACAATTTATTGTATCACTATTCTGGATGCCAGACATCTAAATCAAAGTTGTGAAGGGTTGTCCCCTCCCTAAAAGAATTTGAGAAGATATGTCCCAGCCTCCCCTCCAGCTCTGGTAGTCAGGGGCTTATAGATGGCTCCTCCTCTTGCAGCTCCTCTCAGTGTTTCCCTCTGTGTGTGGCTTTGGCTCTTTCTACTGCTGCAGAACCCAAGAGGTCCAGAGAGCAAAGGGAAAGAAGAGGACATATTTCCTGGATTTGGATGCGTATCTGAACTCACACCCAAATTGCCAGCTGGAAGAACAGAGGAAAGGTGCTAGTGTCATACACTTGGCTCAGGGGTGGTCTTTAGAGACCTGGAGGATACAGAAGAATGACAAAGACATGAACAAACTGGTCTTGAAAGAAAACAGAGCCTTGTGAATCCTGCACAGAAGATGCCACAAACTCTGTTTACAGGATACAGTCGCCAATCTTATTTGTACTACAGCAAGAAGTTATAGATTCAGGGTCAAGTAAGGGGTGGTGGTAGCTCACAGATGGCTGCAATGGAAGTCCCACCTTAAGATGACGTTCCTTTTAGAAGTCCAGGAGTATCAGACCGGAGCCCAGCCTACTCCAGTAGGACCTCATCTTAACTAGTACGTCCATAATGACCACACTTCCAAAGCAATCCACATTCAAAATGTGAGAAATTCGAACTTCATCATATGAACTTGGGAGCACAATTCAACATAATGGGAGGGGCCTGCCCCTTAGCTCTGTTGTTTAAGTGGCTGCTTCAACAAAGCAGTCAGCTTCAGGTGGCTGTGGTTCGATTCAACAGAATGGGAGTGGGGAAAAGAAAATTTTCAGACAACATAAGTATAAAGATCTTGGGATCTAATGACTGTCTTGCTTTGTCCAAGAGAACCAAATGAATCACAAGCATTGCTATAAGAGAATCAGCTAAGTGAGAATGAAAGAGATGGTGTGATATAGAAGTGAGGAAAGCCTCGAGGGTCTGAAAGGCAAAAAAAGTTGATTCCCTGTGAGCAGCTTGAGGAGCGTGCCTTGCTGGCTTCTCCACTTCACCTTGCTGGAGATTATGGTGGATTTGCGACCCTGAGAACTGTAGGACAAGAGCTGTGCTGCCTGATGCCACTGTGGTTGCAGCAATTTTTTAATCAATAGTTGGAAACTAGTAAAAATGAAAAAAAAATGAAAAGTAAACATACCTTAAGTAGCAGCAAAAGCTTATGAGTAAATTGCATATAAACAGCACTGATAAAAGTTAAAGCTCTTAAGAAAATAAATGAATTCATAGAAAAACATACATCATCCAAGATAACCCAAAGATAAAGAGAAACTCCAAATAGAGGTTAAATGGTAATAACTAGGCCATTTAAGTTGTTTTATAAGTATAAAAAGAAATCTCTAGAGAATTTTTAATAAAATAGTACATTTTCATTGGTACGTCGCCCAAGGGCAAAATGAAGCAAGGTAGATACTGAGACACATGTTCATAAAAACATAATCAAGGGAATATTAGAAACTAAAGTTATAGAAGGAAGAGCCATGAATAAATAAAAATCCAACATAAAGGGGCCGGGGAGATGGCTCAGTGGAATAAGTGGAAGGGCCCTAGTTCTAAAAAAAAAAAAATACAAAAAAAAAAAAAAAACAATTCAAGAAGAAGATGTAGAAATGGTTAGTGAACACATGAAACATTGTCTATAGCTATCAGGAAAATTAAAGTAAATATTATTGTGTTATTTCTAGTAGACAAGCAAAATTAAAGTCTGCTTCCATTGACTACTGAGAAGAATTAGGGAATTTGGGCTGTTATGTATGCTTTTCAGATCAGAAAGAAAATCATATAGAAAGCAATTTATATAACCACTTAGGAGACTAGATAGTTGCTCAAACTGTTTAAAAATGCACACACATAAAACTCAACTTCTCAAATTCCAGATATCTGTATTTAAAATTCAAACATATGAACAAGAAAGCCTTTACAGAGATGCACCATTACCTTAATAATAAATATAATCAATCATTAATGCAATGGAAAACACAATGTATTCCTACAATAAAATGCATAGATATTTATAGCAAATACATGATTTTGCATACACAGATGAACCCAAACATATAATGTGGAAGATAAAAATGAAGTATCAGAATGGTTCCCACTGCAGGACACCACTGACGAGAATCCTCAAAACACAAAGCACACTGTTTTGTGCTACGTGTCTATAAGGATAAACTCTGGAATGGTCTGTATGGAATCTTCCTAACAGCAATTCTTTCTTTGGAAATAGAGAAAAGAACAGGGGTGACTACTTTATTAAGAGAACAGAAAGAGAGAGCCAGAGAGGGAGAGAGAGAGGGAGATGTTGAGAGAGAGACAGACAGACTGAGACAGAGAGAAGAGAGGGAGTGAAAACAATGCAATTACTTTTTGTGTCTGCAAAGATTTCTGCTATATACTTTTCTCTACTTTTAAATGTGATAATTATATAATACATTTAAAATATTTTTATGTATTTAGGACAGGGTCTCCAGGATCTCACTATAGAGATAGGACTCGTAGTGATCCTCTTGTTTTCATCTTCCCCAGCGCTGGAGTTACAAGCCCGCCCAGTCTCAATCACCGGCTTAGCTCGCTCCGGGGCCGGGGCCGGCACAAAAATAAATTTTTAAGTAAATAGTAGCAAGCAGATTTTGCCATCTCCACCAGTCCACTGAAGAGAGAAAGAAAATCCTCATTCCTGCACTCTACGAGGTGGATTCGTACTGCACCACATAAATCCCAGGGGTACCTAATTAACGAACGGAAGGATGTTTGTTCTGGTCTGGAGGAGTGTTCATACTTTGAGCGCTCAGGCAGGAGGCCTGACTGAGCCCAGGAATTCCAGGTCAGTCTGGGCAACACAGGGAGTCTCTGTCTCAAAAAATAAAGGAAATAGTCACACAAGTAAGCAAGGTGCATTCAACATGAAACACACATTCCACGTCCTACCATCTGTGGTCTACAGTACATAAAATTTGCTATAGAAAAAGAGAAAGTGAAAGAAGAATATCAGGCCACCTGGCTCTTAGCAACAGAGGGGCTGCAGGACATCAGCCTATGGACTCCCCCTGACTCTTGAATTTCTATGTCTTTTTTATCTGAAAACATTAGAAATTTGGAGTAGTATTTACATCTGATCGGAGCAGCCTCAGAGGACTGACACACACAAGAGTAACACAGAGCGCGATGTCCCTGGGGAGGGCAGCGTCAGGCCGACGGTATTGGCGGGGCAGTGGGAGGCAAGGAGAGCTGGCGCTCCAGGCATCTGGGCAGTGACTGCACGGCTGCACGTGCTGTCGCTTTGAGGCTTTGACCAAGGGCGCCAGAGGGCTCGGAAGGCAGGGCCAGAGGATGGCGGGGCTGCTCCCCTGGGGTTTCTTTAGATGTAGCTCACCCAAAGACACATTTTCAAATTTAGGAATTTGACATAAAATTCCTCACCAGATAAATGTTCATAGATAAAGTGGAAGAGAATCTTCCTTCATTCAAGATCCAAGAGGGAATATTTTTAGAATATCTATATCATAAAATCCTTTAAGGCTTTTGAACAGCATTTGGGAGAAGCTCTGTCTTCCTCAAAGGCGCTGCAGGAATCACAGTGATGCTCTGAACCTTACTGAACCTTGCCTGCGTGCTCACGGCAGCAGGAAAGCTGATGACCCGAGAGCAGAAGCCCTGGTTATCCCTCCCCGGGACTTCCCATAAAATTAAGCCGAGTCGTACTGGAAACATGACTTTGCTGCCGCCGCCGGCGCGCTAGCTCACAACTGGAAAGATGTCTGCACTGAGAAGCCTGTTTAGTCTCATCGTCCTGCGCAGATGCTCTGTCACCTTGAGGGCTCCAGCTGCCGGGTGTGAAGTGGATGGGAAGGGA